AAAAAAAAAAAAAAGAAAAAAAGAAAGAAAGAAAGAAAAAGAAAAAAGAAAAAGGAAAGAAAGAGACATGGTGTGTTTCCTACTGGCTGGATTCTGTGATGGCTTTAGGTCCTTGGAAAAAAAGAATGACCGGGACTATGAACAATCCCTCAGCCACCTTATGTCATGGTCAGAGAACCCCTAATGACTTTGTGCCCACAGCTACAGCTGCCCAGAAGGATACGATAGAGGACTGAAGAGCACCAGGGAGTTCAGTTCAAGGTTTAGAGTGCCTTGAACCTGTCAGGGTGAGAAATGAAACTTTGAGTTCCATGTGCCTGCTGAGCACGAGGCTCCGAGAGACATTCTTAGAAAGAGTTAGAACTTTGAGGCCCAGAAGTAGACTTAGGGGACAGAGTGAATTTGGAGCAGGGTGTGCACAAAGGGATGAGCATCAGACCTGGGTGGTGGTGGGTGGTGCACACCTCTAATCCCAGCACTCAGGAGGAAGAGGCAGAAGGATCTCTGAGTTCGAGGCCAGCCTGATCTCCACAGTGAGTTCCAGGACAGCCAGGGCTACACAGAGAGAAACCCTGTCTCAGGAAAAGAGAAACAAAACAGAACAAAACAAAAAAAAGAAGAAAAGGAAGTGAGAGACAGCAGAAACCAAAACATCCAGGCAGCTGAGGCCGAGGCAGCTCAGATGTGTGTCCTTGGTTCATTCTTTAAGTCTTAAAAATAGTTTTATCTAAAAAATGAAATCTTGTTTTAGTTGTTTGCTGAGGGGGTTGGAGAGGTGTGTGCATGTGTACATGCCATGGTGCATGTGTCTCAGTCAGCAGACAGCTTCCAGATTGGTTATCTTCTTCCAGTAGATGGGACCTGGGGCTCGAACTTGGGTCATCAGGCTTGGCAGCAAGTACATTTCCCTGCTGAGCCACGTTGCTGGTCCTCATTCAATCACTCTTGCATGGGTGAATGAAGGCTCCTGGTGGTTCCCTCTTCACCAGAGGCAGAAATCACAGCTAGGCAGGTTTTTGCCCGAACGATCCTCCAGTGGGTCTCACGCTTTAGACTCTGCATTGGCGTCCCAGGGTTTACAAGGTCACAGAGCTAGGGAAAGGCACAGCTGGATTGGAACCCATGTCTTCTGTGATCTACCTCAGCTCCTGTATATAGTCAGCCATCTTCTGAATACAAGTTGTCTTGCTGTCTTTGAAGAGTCTCCAAAAATCAAGGATTACTTCTTAAGCACAGGAAATTCTATGTAATGACAATTCTGGATGAAAACAATCTTGAAAAAATTATCTCATGTCTAAGCAATTTTTGGGTTTTTTCTTTCTACCTTAGGAAGACTTGTGCTGTGAAGGTTTATACTGGGCGAGTGTTCATGCTTTTCTTTTGGTAATCTCTGTTTTGTTGTGGAGTCCCTAAAAAGGAACCTAAGATGGGTAGAAACAAATGATAAGACTCTCCTCTTTTTAAAAAAAGTACTCTCCTCTCAAAAACATCTTCTATTAGCCCCACCATAATCTGTTTTATTATGCCTTCTAAGTATATCTTGGATGTTTGTTAATTTGAATGCAATAAGCCCCCATAATCTCATAGGGATTGGCACTATTAGGGGGTGTGGCTTCGTTGGAGAGAGTGTGGCCTTGTTGGAGGATTATGTTACAGTGGGGGAGGGTTGAGATCTCTTATGCTCATGCCATGCCTAGTGTCTCAGAGCACATTTCTGCTGCCTGTGGATCAAGATGTAGCTTCATCTCCACATTTTTCTCCTTCTCCAGCACCATGTCTGCCTGCATGCCTCCTTGTCCTGCCATGATCATAATGAACTAAACCTCTGAAACTGTAAGCCACCTGATGAAATGTTTTCCTTTATAATTGTCGCTGTGGTCATTGTGTCCCTACACAGCAATGAAACCCTAACTAAGACAGTAGGTATCCAACATAATCACAGAGAACAATGGACTCAGGAAAGAATTCAACTTCAGGACAACCCTTTGAGCATGGACTTTGGTATAAACCAGCTCTGATGCAGAATACCTTGTAAGGGTTTGTACATTTAGGTGTATTTGTTACAAATGCTTTTAGACCTGTATCATCTTTATAGACACCACTGTAGAGCAAGCCAAGGACAATCATTTCACCATGCTAAGTAGAAATCTGGGACAGCCATGTGTCTGTCATGCAGTGGGTAAGAGCTGGCTGATCTGTTGTTCTACACTGAGTAGCAGCATGCAGAGTCAGAAATACCTTTCTTTTGTGTTCTGCCTTTTTGCCTCCTATTACTTCAGACATGACCTTTCAACCATTTAACTAGAACTTTCCCAACACATGCAGTCAGCCCACCCAAGCCATCTCCTTCCCATGCTACTCACCCTAGTTACCTCCGTGTCTTCAAAGCCTAGTGTAATAAATGTTTCCTAAGTCTAAACAGAAACATAAACTAGTCCATGCAGGAATTAACAACTTAGGCAACTAGAAGATGTTTTAGATAGAGACAGTAGTGGCCACTACCATCACGGAGAATGATACCTCATGACTTGTATATATTGAAGACTGCATTATTCAGGTGAGAAAAAATTTAAAAAATAAGATTAATATTAAAGTATTGAAATGGTATACAGTTATAGAAAAAAGTGTTGAAGGAAGTTTTGATATTCATTTCTAGATACTGAAATCAAAGATTATTTCTCATGATTCTGTTTTTTGAAAGTTACATTTTACATATTTTCTAGTAAGGCAAAACAGTGTCTCTGTTGTGAATTAAAAAGTTATGCCTTTCAAACAAACGTAACAGGTACTCAGAGTTGAAGGTAGAAAAGAGCTAACACAGCAAGGTGCCCACTCGGAAAGTTCTGCTGCCTACTTGGCTGGTGTCTGGGAGTTGGAATTTCAGTTTATCTTTATATTTATATACACATGTATATGCAGTTAGATATGGTTGTACATATTATGTATACCACATACTTATAAAAATATGCACATAACTATACCCATAGCTTTGCATACAACATGCATACCACACACATGCGTACCAATACCACAAATGTTGTTTGTTTCTTTTTATTTTTTGTTATGACAAATTATTGTACATCTAATTAATATAATGAATATTTCTACGTGTCTGCATGTGGGTGTGTGTGTGTGTGCATGCAAAGGTGTAGACAAATACATGTTTCTAAATGTATGAATGTGGGCACATATATGTGAGTATAGTGTGTGAAAAAGCATGTGTGTATTGTGGCACAACAATGATGGTGCCCTGATCCTTTCTGATGGGCTGGTGGCACTATTACTTTTGGGTGGGGCATGCTTGATCATGCTGCATTCTGTGCATGGAATTTCCATGCTTCTCAGAATACTGATGTTGTCTAAGATGTTGCTAACAATGTGTAGATGCTTCAGGATCTTTCTTAGATGGAGATCTACAATCTATGTCACATGTTAAGCCCTTCAGATAACATTTGACACCAAGCATATGTAAGTTTTCAGTTTTTCCTTCCTCTTCTACTGCACTTTGAGATTATAGTAAATCACCACCATCAAGTAAAACTAAAAACACTTACTGACTATCCAGAACTTGGAGAAGACCAGGAAATTGTGGGTGCCCAGGATACAATGATGTCCACTGGAAGACTTCCAGGTGGGGCGTTCCTACTGTAACTGTTACCACAGGCATCCAGGCTGAGACAGCAAAGAGGCATCTCTGCTGCGCAACCATGTAAGTTCTCTTCTTCCGGATTCTGCTGCTGCAGACAGGAAAAGCATTTCAAGCTCTGTGATTAGATAGCTGGTTTTATTGAGGCCACCCTCCCTAAATCCTGTTTGGCTTTGAGGATAGCATAATGCTTACACTGCATCTAGAGATAACAGGAAGAAATTCCCAAGAGTTTTTCTTTTATAACTGAGATTTTATCGGTTGAGGACCATGTTAACATGTTAATTCAGCTTTGTTTTCTTTCTTTTTGCATGCCACAATTCTTAAGTGTAGGATTCCATCCTCATAAGATAGAGGAATGGAACACTGTGATACCTTGACTAACTCCTCAGATCTCTAAGATGCCTCCTTCCCACTACCCTTAAATGTCATATTAGGGCAAGAAAAAAGCATCCACGGTAAAAAATAAATAAATAAATAAAAAGGAAACCCAACACTAAGGAGACTGAGTTAGAAGTATTGCAGGAAATCTGAGGCCAGCCTTGAGAGATAAACTGTCAGGGAGGGAGAGAGGCATGAAGGCAAAGGACAATGGGAGACTGGGAATGGGTTTTCTCAAAGTGGGATATGTCCCTTGTTTTATACTACTAATCTCTACTAGCATTTGTTAGAAAAGGTGACAACAGCTGAGGCAGAGTCAGCACCTGTCCCAAGACTCCACTTTCCAAAATGGGACAGGATAAACTGCTGTTACAGTGCTATCCAGTGAGTGACAGCCTCAGAAGTCATCAACTACCATGATGAGAGGAGGTAGGGA